AATCATGCGTAGACTGAGTGGTGCTCGGGAGGCATAAACAAGAGAGAGCCAGGCAGGCTTTAGACCAGGAAGAGGGTGTATTGATCATATCCTCACCCTCCGACAGATTCTAGGACATAGGCATTCCTACCGGCGTCCAACAATCATTATATTCCTTGACCTAAAGGCGGAATTCGATTCTGTCGACCGAGAGGGACTCTGGCGAGGCTTGGCTATAAAGGGAATACCGAGAAAATACACTGCACTGATTAAGGCACTCTACTCATACTCACACAGCCAGGTGAGGGCTTACAGCGAGTTGTCATCTGAACTGGTGACGACTAGTGGTGTCCGTCAAAGATGCCCATTATCCCCATTTCTATTCAACTTCATCATAGATGTACTAATGGACTTAACCCTAACTCACTTCAGCGACTCAGGGATTGACTTGCTACCAGGGAATAATCTCGTTGACTTGGAATATGCAGACGATATAGTCCTTCTAGGTGAGAACGCTGACAAAATACAGCAGAGTCTTCTAAACACCTTGAGCAGAAATCTACGAATGTTTGACATGCGATTCACTCCCGTCAAATGCAAGATAATGTTACAGGACTGGACTACACTGACTCCTAGTTTAGAAATAGGAAGTGAAGTGGTTGGTGGAGCACGTTGACCGCTTCACTTATTTGGGAAGTACCATCAGCCAGTGCCAACGGGTTGATCTCTGACGAAATCCCAGCTGAGTACGGATACAGAGGACTAGTTTCGCATATGCCAGTTTACGCCGTCTCTGGCGTAGACGTGATATCCGACTATCGACGAAAAGGTGGGTGTACTGCTCATCAGTCCGCTCCGTCCTCCTTTATGGCTAGCTGTGAGACCTAGCCATTGAGAGTGGAAGACATGAAAAGCGTGGCTAGCTGTCTTCGATCATAGGTGCTTGCTCTCTATTTCCCGTGTGAAGTGGTATAATAAGGTGAGCAATATTCAGGTTAGGCGTCGGTCGAGTGCTAGGTAAGCAGGGGAAATCAATCGACGAGGTTGTGAAGTTACATAGGCTGAGATGGTTAGGACATGTGTTATGCATTCTTGCCTAGTCATCGCCTTCCTCGACCGACAGGCAATGTTAGCTGATTTAGGGTAAGGCTGAAAAAAGGCTAGTGGAGTTCAAACAAAAACATGGCAGCAGTCAGTGAAATCTACAACAGTTAGTCTAGGCCACGTAGGAATGTGTAGACTTCCGGGTCGGGGTCCACGGGACGGCAAAAACCAATGGTTGGAAACTACTGGGGACATGGATCAAAATCGTTCTCAATGGCGCAGATGCATCCACTCCTTGTGACTTAGGATTTCCAATGAAACTGTTTTCTTCTTCATTATTACTGTTCCTTTGTCTCACACTTCTGTTTACTGTCAAAATTATGCATTTCTCCTATCTTCTTCTCTTGCTTTGTGTGCTACATGGGGTGTGGCGACTTGGACTACCGCACGTATGTGCAGAGTTCCATGTCGAAAACAGACAGACAGACATTTCAAAAGAAGTGTAAACTATGATAACTGAATTCATTGAATGCTGATGTCATATATGGTCATGAGTGGTTATCATGCAAATGCCTACTTTATCTAAATGAATTTAACCTGTATCACTTTTAACAATGTGAAGTCGTAATGAGGTCTCTCAGATAGTTAAATTGAATGGGAATCTGATGTAGTCGCATTCAGTAGAAGACATCCAAAGTCCACTAACGAGTGTTTTACTACTTATGACCAGATAGATTTGCATAATCAGTTGCAGGAACTGATTCTTCATACAACATCAAGAGAAGGTAATTTCACTCATTCACTTACAACTATGTAAATATTCTTTTTTTTCCAGTTTTGATACCGGATAACTTTGGATGTGGACCTACAGTTCTGTTTACTTGAATTGAAGAAGATTTTAAACGTGGTGCAATTCGGATAGTGGAGAGTTTGCGTCGAATGGTAGGAGATACTTCGGAATAGAATACTTTCATCTTGGACTCTACTTAGCCCATATATGAAAATAAACTTTTCATCTATTATTCTTGTGTTCTACTTGATATGCTTGCGGTGGGATTAAGGCATGCTGAACCGGTACTCCCTAAGATATGAACTTTTTACAATACATTAGTGTAGCCCTCTATAAACACTATCGATTAGTATAGGTGATGACTTATAAGGACTTTAGTCAAGCCTAAGCATCTGCCTTAAGTTACGCGAATACGCCTCCTAGCCATAGTTAAATCTGTAGGGACCAATTACAAAAATACCTAGCCCATGTATTTGAAATATAAGAATAGAACGTAGACAGTGTGGTAGAGTATGATTTCATCATAGATTAAATGTATTACATTACTATTATTTCACTTGAAGCGCGATGTCAATTTATATGATCACCAGTGTTAACGTATATTTCTATGTGATATTTACACGAGACGAATAACTGAGTAGATGAAGTTGCAACAATCGTAGCTCTACTTCACTTACATTGAATTATCCCACCAATTACTTTCTCAGGTTTGATTCCTAAGGCAGGCCCCCATCTCATCATGATGACAAATTTATTTTCACTCAAATAGGATAAGAAAAGTATGGTAAGCAGGATGTTAGGTATATTTAGTGAAAAATAATAATAATAACAATAATATCTGTACACAACTGTTTGTCGTAATTATTTCGTCAGTGTTGAATTCCTGTGACCAGGTTGACTGACGTAACCAGACTTCTGTAAATAAATGAATGAAGCGTATTGCTGAATCCGTTACAGTTGGGAAGTAATATAAAAGTCGAACACTTTAATTGTCTACCTTTTCTGACACACGTTCATTCTTCTTTTTCATTCTGTGGTCATTACAGCATTCTTCTGTTGTTTTCACTATCACATATATTGTTCCTCTTATCAAGTATAGCACTAAGCAAATGATGAGTCCATCTTTCGGCGTCATTCTGAAGTATGAAAGATAGTTCACACATCTAAAAGATAGTGATTATGGAAATTGGAGTAAAATTGGTTTCTATCCGTTCAGAGTATTTCCTCAGGAGAAGTTTCTTATCAACAATTTCAGTATTCATATTGATTTGATAGGAGGCTGGATTTTGTGCTCATTTTCACCAACTGTCCTTCACGGATAATAGTGTGCAGTAACTGCATACGCTCAAGCATTTTAACCTGAACATCACAAAGTCCTCCTGGATAAACTGTTTGATAATAAATGGTCAAAAAACATGAGTCATAAGCGCAACTTTCGTGTCATTCATAGACACAGATAATTCCTGAAGTAGTTCAGAATACCTTAGTGATCTGAAAATGAATGACTATTAGGAGTGATATAACTTACGTAACAGGTGTATTAGTGGTAGGATGCAGCTGCAAGCTGCTTTTCGACAGGAAGGTACTACTAATTGCAAGCAGAGTCACATTTCAGAAAGACCATCCACAGTGTTCTTATTGTCCCAATGCACACTGATATCAAGATAAGTTGACTTCATTTGATACAGTGAGCAGTTACGGTCTTCTAAAATTCCCTGTTACAATGTAAATTCACCTCGTATCACATTTTCGGCTTCATAAATTTAACCATGAACTCCATCGAAATGGATATAATCATCCCAAAATTCAGCCGCTTGTCTCATTTATCATATGATTTCTTCCATGTATTATAAAGGATTTCACTCTTCATGGGTGAAAATTGAAAAAGAAGCTTAAGCTCTTCAGAACAGATATCTTACTTATGCGTGTGGGTTTATTCATTATCAAAAGCCTGAATCTTATAGGATAACTGCTATGACATTAACCATTGACTGTATTCAGTTTTTACAACACGAAAATCCCAGTTAGTATTGGTTTCGAACGGACTGGAGAACTTTCAAGGCGAAATCAGCCCCAAAGTTTTGCGGTGCACCTCAAGAAAATGCTAGTTGGGATCTAAAATCACTAGCAAATATTAAACCGTTAAGTTTCCCAAATATAAATATCATTTCTATGTATAATTTCTTTAAGTGCACGCCTTTTTTTATCTTAATAGTTCTTCTGGGATATCAAGACATCTTTACACGTTAATGCGAACATAATACAAGAAAATATCGTATTTTTTCGACTGCAGAAGCTTAAAACTAATTAAATATACCCCCATTTTTACAGCAATTGACGCTTGTAATGCATCTACAGGTTTGAACAGGATAAGGCTTACCATGCAGGAGAATGCAACACGATAAACTTTATCCTCACTAGAATTTTATAGAATGATGAGTTTACTCAACTAGGGAAGGTCAGTGTTAGAAATTTAAACATAAGTAGGTTTTTGACTTACCGGTAGTTTCTTTGCCTCTGAAATTGTAGTTCTCTATTCATATAGCTTTTAGTATCCATGAGACATTGTCTTCACTAAATATATTTTTTCCTGTTTCATGTGACTAAGAAGTTCCACAAATTTCTCTGTAAACGTAGTCCAGTCACTTATAGAAAATTGAAGTTCTTTGCAGATAAATATTTGTTTCGCATATTCGCCGACAATTAATCCATATTCTGGTTTATTCTTAAGACCAGATTATTTTAAGCAAGAGGTATAAATTAATTTTTCTGAACATGGGTTTGTACACGAATTCTGGAACTCTGACACAACCGTTCTTGTAACTGTCTAACACTTAGTAGAACCTGTTGTATTGTTGCAGCACTTAGATTTATGATCAAACCAAATATCTTATCAATAAGATTTACTTACCTAACTGGGATAAGTGAAACTTTTGTCTTGATAATAACCAACTAAAAACTATAAATACTGAATGAAATATATGAATAATTTGTATTCCATAATACAAAAGGGATCTACAAATGAGTTCTGCTTCCAAAGCATTTACAATCCCTTTATTTCAGTAGTAAATTAAACCATTAAGAAAAAAGAAATCCGATGATTGGTGAAGTTCAAATGTCCACCTGATATCGGATTGGTTAATAAAATGTTTTTACACAAATGTCGTCCTCTTCAATCTAGGAACAGGAAAGCCAGTAAGAAATCCCAAAATCTAACATCTAGCATCAAAAATGACAGAAAACATCAATTTAATTTTGAAAAATATTATCTCATTTGCTTTCCTTTAATAAAAACTGACTTAGATTTTTCGCCCATTATACTCAGTTATCAGTTTCTAAAGCAAAGCTAAATTCACACTTGATTTCCATTGACGTATGAACGATTCATTCCAGAATAACTGTGTAAACATAAATAATCTCTCCAATTCATCTATTTTATGGAAGCCTGTAGTCAACTGGACTATTTCATGTTTCCTCATCATTGTTACATGCATTATATTCTTTGGAAATCTTTTGATAATTATTGCATTTGCAACAACAAGTCGTTTAAGACGCGTGACAGATCATTATATTGTTTCACTCGCTATGGCTGATTTACTTGTGTCAGTCCTAGTGCTTCCTTTGGCTATTGTTCGTCAGAACTTGGGTTACTGGCCGTTTGAATCACATGAATTATGCCAATTCTGGTTGTCAGCCAATATAGTATTGTGTATGGCATCAATACTCAACCTGTGCTGCATATCTTTGGATAGATTCATTGCAATCAGTCGACCTATCCAATACATCAGAATACGTAATCATCGAACGGCTTCTGCAATGATAGCTGTTGCTTGGACGCTACCGATGATGACAATGTTACCACCTTTGATCGGAGGAAATCAACACGCTTTAGGAAAAGGTTCATGTCATTTGACGAACAACAAAGGCTATAGAATTTATTCGTCTATAGTTGCATTTTATGGTCCATTCCTACTGATCGCCTATATGTACTTACGCGTATTCTACGTAATAAAACATCGTTCGAAAAGTTTTCAATATGTAAATATCAAATTTTCACCGTCAGCAAGTCATAAGTCAAATGTTACAGCAAAACCAGATCTTTGTGTAACATTTTCAAGTCCAAAGAGAGGAAAGTCTGCGAAGTTAAAATCTCTGGAGAATCCTGTTGTCACCATGAAAATCAGTAATCATTCTTATATTCATACAAATCCTTTCGATAAAATTTTCCCGCATCATTTAGTAAAGAACAAAAAGATCAACACATTTTGCAGCAATCATCATTTATTTCACAAAACATATAATATTGGATGTAAGACAGACTATAAAAAAGTTTTAACCGACAGAATTGACAGTAAGCTCTCCGTTAAAAGTCGAGATGAATTAGAAGTAATATCGCCTGAGCCAACAGACCCAATCCTTAGAGTGATGAGAACATTTCATATTTCACCCGAGCATACTACTTCAAAAGATGCCTGTTCAAATTGTTCAACAAATCCAGTGTTTCATATTAAAAGTAAACCGAAAATTCAACATGTCGACAGTGCATACACTATTAAGGTAACAGAAAAGACTAAACACAGCGACCGATCTGCATTCTGTCCATCACAAGTGTTCTCCATCACATCTTTTAAATGTCACCACCATGAAGAATCCTATTGTTGTCGTTGTCATTGTTGTCACCAGAATCAGAAACACTTAGAGACACTTATAAATCGTTCAGAACCTTGTTTTAAGGTGAGATGCAATAAAGCACAACAAAGACGAGTGAATAATCTGCACAGTCGTCGACGTGATCATTCAATCTTTCACAGAGAACAAAAGACTGCAAGAATTTTAGCCGCCGTGGTTGGTTGTTTTACAGTTTGTTGGTTTCCATTTTTCACAGTTCTGATTAGTGAAGCTATATGCGAGTGTCAGTACTCAGATAATCTTATCAACTTTGTTGTATGGTTAGGCTATTTTAACAGTATTTTCAATCCATTCATATATGCATTTTTTAAAAAAGAATACGCAGATGCCTTCAAACACATACTTCATGTAAATATAAAAAAGTCTAAAAAACATATAATTGGTAAAAAATGATGGTTTTTTTTTGTAATTAATAAAAACTAAAGAATCCTTTGCTTTTATTCTTAAAACACCTACATTATATTTTTATTTCTCAAATAGTGATGATGATTTCAGATTATATAGTGAAAAATTTATAGAAATGTTTCAATGAAATAAATCTATTTGATTCAACCCACGATTATTTTAACTGGTTTAATAACTATATGTGTCCAAACCAAGTTCACTTTTAACAGTTTGAAAAAATTTGGGCATTGGGTATATGATATTCATTATAATAAAAGTATTTTTTGTAATTTCCAATGAATGAAAAACAAAACGATATTGTTGCTTTTACTGAAGTTTCGCTATTTACTGCTAATAGCCTTATTAAAATATTGCTCAACCGGAATTTACAAAATCTCATTATATAGATCACAGAGTTGAGGGGTGAGAAAATAGACTTAGGTCAAGTTAAAAAGACATACTGAATGTCAAATTAACAATGAAGATCACTAAACCAAATAACAAAGGTGATAGTAAATCTGTCATGGTATCAAAACAAAGTTTACTAACTTGATCATCGTTCGTCAGTCTGGGGTCATTTTTCGTTGTCAAGTTGGTCAAGTGGTAAAGATAACAAAACCAAGTGTAGATTGTTGGATTTGATCAGTATGTAAAATTATAAAAGCAGTGTGTGTTTACATAGTGAACTTGCGTATCACATTCGTGTTGATTTTGTCACTTCATGGACGAGGGGAGGGAGGTGTTGTAACCAGGTCAGATTCTGTTTTAGTCCATCATTCCTATTCAGGCAATTTGGATTCCATTTGATATGAAGTGCTTCTGATATTAGACGTTCTTTGTAGTTTCTGAAGTTTTTCTGGATTATTTCGATATTGTCAAAATCAATTTTGTGGCCTGATTTTATAGCGTGTAGACCTATGGCTGATGATTTTGCAAGCTTTTCTAGTTCAACTGGATTTCTCGGTGGTCGAACAGATGCTCTACGGTGTTTATTTCCTCTGATTTTGATTTCTCGAGATGTTTGTCCGATGTAGATCGCATCACATTCCAAGCGAGCATTTTATTTTATAGACACAATTGGATAGAGAATCTTTAGGGATTTGGTCTTTTATATGGACAAGTTTGTTTCGTAGTGTGTCTGATGTTTTGAAGAAAACTCTAATGTCGAGCTGATTGAGTATTCTTCTTATATCATCTGGCGTCTCTGCTCCATTTGGAATGACGACAATCGAGGTCCATGTTTTTGGAATGTGTTTTCGGCCATACTTAATGTCTGTTTTGATTTTGTTGATGAAGTTTCTTGGGTAGTTGTTTTGCTTGAGAGTTTCAATAATGTTTGCTATTTCTTCTTTTTTTCTTGCTCATCCGTTATCAGAGAGTGTGCTCGTCTAAGAAGACTTGAAACAACTGAAATCTTTGCGCTGATGGTGTGTGATGATTTGAAGTCCAAATATTTATTGGAGTGGGTTTTCTTCCTGAATATGGATATACTAAAATGTCCGTTTTCCTTTCTCTTAACTAGGCAGTCTAGAAATGGTAGTTCACCGACGCTGATTCTGCTTCCAAAGTAAAATGAATTCTGGGAGATACACAGTTTATTTTCTCCAGAAATGAATTGTGTAGATCTCGTTTTAGTACTACAAAAGTATCATCTACATAACTTAACCATATTTTAGGAGTGAGTATGCTTGAAAAGATATTATTTTCGAAGTTGTTCATGAAAAGGTAGGCAACTATTTGGGCGACTGATGAAACCATAGCAACACCATTTTTCTGTCTATATAAACTCCCTTTAAATGTAAAATAATTACTTTCTAGACAGAATTTCAAGCTCTTAATTATTTTACTGGTGTCCAGTGGACATCTTTGTGACAGCGTTGTATCTGATTCTAGTAGACTGGAAATGCTATTGGCATTAAATAGCGAAACGTCGGTAAACACAACAATATCGTTTTGCTTTTCATTCATTGGGAAATACAAAATCCTATATTATAATGTGTTTAATAACTATTTTCGGCACTATGCGAATTTTGGGTTTTGTGGGTATCTGAAAAGTTTCAATGAATGAATATTTTATCTTACACGGGCACCGATTAGAGAATGCTGGACAGCTATTTTTCCTCTGTATAGGACTCTTCAATAGAGAACATCCACGAAACCACTATAGATAGAGCTTCTGACATTCAATTAACAAATTCAACAGGTTTATCATTCAGTCACTCGATCGGTTCGTGAAAAAATCTACATGAACGTCAGTCGAATTTCTACAAATCCGAAATCTAAATATCCCCTTCATGGTCATTTGGGATCGATTTCAAAGTCGAGATTCTGAAGTTATAATAAATCGTTTTTATTCATTAGGTCCCCCAAGTCTCCGGAATTCGACCCGGTAACTGAATGTTAAATCTGCTCATCTGATAGTCTGAATCTCCCTGTTGATGTTATAGGTGTGCACTACTTCTATCACTATTCTTCAGCATTCAACCAACAAATCCCAGATAAGCCGACACACTCTGGATTCCATTGCTAATCGTCATCACAGAGGTCCAAATGACAGTAACTGTTATAAAACTGAGAATTATTATCTTAAAGAGTATTGCAACAAGAATTCATTGAGTGTTTTAATTGTAAACGTTGGGGTCATGTCTTAAGGTGCCATTTTTAAATTATTATTATTGACAGTGGTTCATTTTTGTAACTTGCGTTAGGAGAGATCTTTCTTAGCCAGAATCATATAGTATTTTCAAGCTGCTCTTCACTAACTTTGAAAAGAAATCTTATTTTAGCGTGAACTCAAGTTAACTGTCAATGTAAATAGCCATGTTTCACCACCTGGTTAGTTCATCAAATTTAACTAAGTTCCCCCAAAAACTTTTTCATTTCAAAAGTTTATTTAGGGGAGAACTCAAGTGCTCAGTGCTACGAAAAATGCTTCTTAAGTCAAATTTTAGTAAAAGTAACTCATGTACGTTCTTTACGCATTAAACTCGTATATCTAATTATAAAGAATTCTTTGCATGTGTTCGTTAAGCAGACTGTTGTTAAAATTTATTTAAAACACGTGTATTTTACATGTTGAAGGTTAATCAGTAAATCCTGTGACACAATACTGAGAAATCCAGCAATTAAAGCTGCTTAACATATGCTTAATATAACTGTTGATAAAAAGACTATCGTTTCGATAGATAAAAGAGCCTACTTTCAGGGTCACTTACCGCATATCAACATATCTCAATTTCGCCTTAAGAGTTCGACTACTAAATATCACTGAGTCTGTTGGGATCCATATTAACAAGACTAATTTATGCGTCCAAAAGAAGTTAGCTCAGACATTATCCTTACCTTGGCCATCTGTGTTTGAGTGATCCTGAATTTTTGTGGAATTTTCCTAATTTTAGTTGATATTCTATTTGCTACTATATCTTTATTATTATTATATAAGTATATTTAATGAACTGTAATTCCATTGATCTTAATTTACAAATCGATATTATTTAAGAAACGCTAATATCGTTACTGACTACTTATCTAGAATATTCTATGTATACAAACATATACATATAATTGTAGAGCTAGAGAAGGAAATCATCTTTGCTCAGTTATTTTGTGTTTTAAAAGAGCATTTGTTAAGTAACATTTCTCTGCTGTATATTAAGGGTGTTCACTGTGATATTATGGCCTCCATAACATTCAAATAATCACTTTAATCGAAGAGTTGACCTACTTTGAAATAACAGTGCATAATAGTCACCAGTATCTCATTATAAACTTTGTCCAAAACAATAACATTTCAAATAAACATTTCATATCACTGGTCATTTAATGAGCTTTAGATATTTTCCACAACTTTGTGATTGTTTCTGGAGTGATAAGTGGACGAAATCACTATGCAAGTTTTGTTTAGGTGTTGTGTCAGCATCTTATTAGTCATGTAAACTAGGAAACTACAGGTTTGATTATGAGTTCTTGCCAATCCTCTATTTTCATGTAATGACCATCTATATGTCGTGTGGAACTCTCCTGTCTTTTAGTGTTAACTAAGCAGCCCAAGAAGGCATATGTTCTCTATCCAGCTGATCAGGCCAAGTGTTACCAAAAACATTTTGTCATATTACTTAAGTATTTCATTGGCAGGTATTTTGTCCGATCAATGTTTGTCTCATTTCCCCACTTGTTTTTGTAATTATGAAGAGATGTAAGAGTGAAGTAATTCTGGTTTTTACCCTTGACGGTTGAAAAAACGGCTGAATTTATGTAGACTAATATATTCAGAAAAGATCTCGTTTTTCTTGTCTTTTTCTTTTGCTGTTTCACTGAAATATCTTTCCGAATCCCTGCGAATGCCTGACTTTCAATTTCGGTAGGAAAGTATTGAAACCATAGCAATAAAATCAACCTACCTGTAGAATGATTCAACACCTGTCCCAGATATCTGGAAAACTCTACTACCTCAACAACGACAAATAGGAGAGAACAAAGAAAACTAAGAAACTAAAGTTTCAAAGTCGTGTGATTACATTATGGGTAAATTTAGTTTTCATAACAAAAAATCAAAACAAAATTTACCCATAATGGAATTACACTCTACCACAGTGCACAAGTCTTATTCTTATATCGTGTGATTACAATTGTGATGTGAATATGAACAATAAATTTTGTTCGAAACAATGTCATCCAGTAAATAATACTGTTTCACTCACTGTGTGACACATCTTATAAACAAACTAATATGGAATTCAAGTATTGGTTTGTAGGGATTTGATCGGTTACATGATTTCATCACGAGCTGACATTAGTTAGAGAACCATTGGAAAACCAGCCGGGAGTACTGGACAGCCGTTTTGTCCTAGTTTGGGACTCTTCATCAGTACGCACCTACCACAGGGGTTCGAACCCAGGACCTTCTGGTTACAAGGCTGGCAAGCTTGTAGACCATTTAGCCAATGGGACTCAGTCCAATGGCCGGCCCATGAATTCTAACTTCTCCCAATTCACGACATAGCACGACCACTAGCCAATGTCTTCGGCGAGTATTTGTCCTCACACCCGACCTGCTGCACCCTACTGGT